AGGCAAGCATATAATGAGGAAGGAAAAGTAATGGAGGAGGATATATTGGCTGAGACTAATGGTTTTTTTTTTTTTACTAATACTAATTTTTTTTGGGTATATGGGTTACACAGGAGCATAAAATAAGTAGTAATATACAATACTTTTAGGAAGATTGGAGCCGAACAGAACAAGATATACAATGGAAATACTTTTCGTAGAAAGAATCTCTTTAAAATAGAGCAAGATACAGAACTATAATTTATTCTCAAAGGCTATCGAAGCATTTAGTAACCTAATATGGATTAAGTTAGGTGAAGAGTGAAATTAAAATGCCATGGATACAGTTTTTCAATGCCTTTTTTGTTGAATATGATAACAGCAAAAGAGGTGGCCGCCATGGACAAGCATGACTTGCAAATGGTTTGGGATAAACATAAAATATGCCCCCTTAAACATATGGATTCATGGAACAAAAATGTTTGTTGGTAAATAATTTATGTACACAGCTAAGCATAAATATACATGAATAAGTAGACGGCAAAATCGTTTCACAAAAATAGTATGAATATTTATTTAGATTTATAGAGAGGTATTGCTAGGATTTAAGGTTAATACTTTTTTAGTTAAAAATTGGTGAATTTTTCTCCTATCTTACTCTATTGCTCGTTTAGCACGAGAATAAAGTTCAGCATTTTTCATGAAGTGCATAAGCATAGGATGTGATGATTTGAATATATCATACTTCATAAGAGAGAAAAAGTACTGTCGAGATATAGAACTACTTTTGCTGGAACTTGGGAAATTCTTCTTTTATCTCATTCCATTTCTTGTTTAACATGAAAATCAAGTTTACTATCTTTCATGAAGTGTAGAAATATATAGTGTGACCACAAGTATATATTATGCTTCACGGACAAAAGGGAAATACTAAGCTAAATTTGAAGGCATTTTCATTATATATATAGCAACATTGATCCAATTGTGATTATAGAAGCTTGAAAAAAAAAAGTGATTGAATTCTCATATTAGTTGACTATGAGTTAATCGAGTTGAATAATGAAATTAAAATGCTATGGGTACAGTTTTTGAATTCCCCTTCAGTTGAATTGGATAACAATAAAAGAATTTTAAAATTGTGAAATATAAAGGAATATCTCGTTGGCACAAAGAGTTCTAAGATTATTGAACTGTTTTGAGATCTTTCCATAATTCATGGATGGTGGCATAATCCCTTACAGTCATTTCTCTCCTACTAATAAACTGGAAAATATCGTGATTCATGAATTTCCTCTGTTGCTTTGTATTTGTAGGATTGGGAGATTGTAGCAGCTTCAGAAAAGCTGGCGGAGTGCCAAGAAACTATCTTAAACTGGGAGATTGTAGGAATGGGAAGTAGTTAAAGGCATTGGTTTCACCCATAAAGGCTGCTCTTTTTGTTAAGGCCCTTTTTGATAAACTATCCTGTTGTTGCCACCATGACAACTTCTGAGAATAATACTCGCCAGCGGTCATCTCTTCTAAATAAAATGCTAGTTGAAGACAAATATGAGACCAAGGATCTCAAGCCTCCTAAAACCAAGGAAATTATTCTAGAGGGTAATAGCTATTCCACCTTTGGCCCGAATTGGACAATCGAACGTCCAGAGAAAGTGGCAAGGTCAAATGGTGTTAATTATTCAAAGGATAAGCTGAGATTGGTTCTTTGGCTATCGTTCCCAGTAAGAAAAGGGGAAGTGGAGGATTGCTAAAGAAGCTGTGAACTAATGCTAAAACTGAAGTGCGGAATCCAGTAACAGTGAAAATTGGCTTAGGGTATGTTTGGTACCCCATAGAATTGGGATTTAGAATTGGAATTGGAACCCCAATTCTAATTCTTGTGTTTGGATGCTGCCTTTTCCATAGAATTAGCATTGAATTCTAATTCCAAGAGGTTCCAATTCCATGAGTTGAATTCTTTATCAGACCAAAAGAATTCTAATTCCAATTCCACGTCTAAACCCTCAAAAACGGGCCTACACGCGGATCCAACGTGGGTAAAAAATAAAAATCGGGTCAAGTTCACTCGCGTCCCTTCTCTATCTAATTAACCGCTTTTCCTCAGCACAATTGCTCTGATGTCCACTGCCGCTTCCACCTCAACCCTAACATTTTGCCTCTTCCACCACCGTCTCCCCCATTGCCCTTTGCTCCGAGTGCTCTGCTCTGCTCCGCTCTGCTGTTGCCTTTTGGCCTTTGGGGGAACTTACAGCTTGCTAGTTGCCTCTGGTGGATTTCAATCTTTTTCTTTGCTTCTCCTTTCTGGTGGCTTCAAGGATAAGCGATTTGGATCTTGGGCTTCTGGTTTTCTCACAGTAAGTTCAAATGTTGTGCCTTTTCTTCTGTTTCGATGTAATTCTCGGGTTTTTTTAGCGTTTTAGTGATTTTGCTGGCATTAATGTTTTATGGGTTGTTTCTAATTTAGCTACTTGTTGTAGGTTTTTGTAATTCTGGACTAAATTTATGACCTTTACTTGCTGTGGATATTTTAAAAACAAAAGGTGAAAATGCTATACAGTAGAAAATTTCAACGGCAAGATCCCTCTTTTCAGTTTGTTTGAGCTATCCCCAATAACAAGACAGAAACGAAACCATATCCATTTTATTTTTCATATCCATTTCTGTTCAGGTGGACTTGTTCAAGTTTTGTTTGGCTCATTTCTTGTCTTGTTCATCAGATATCTAATGACAAAAGAAGTTCCTTTGCACCTGTTTCTCTGGCTTAGTATATCTGATGCTGTCTTCCATATAAACAAAATTTTGTTTTTGACTTCTTGAAAGTTGGGGTAAGATGCAACTTTTGTAAATAAATTAATGGTTCTCCTGAGTTTAGGCTTCTTTTTTAGTTTCTATATACTTTGTGTGCACATGTATTTTGAAGCAGTAATAAATAGATTGTTTGAAAGTTATGAATGATTTGCAATTCGTAAAGCGCCGCTACAAGATCTGTGATGGAATCCACTAATGGCCGTTTAGCCAAACAGTGGTTTACTATGTGATTGGTGTAAACTACATTTTGCTTTATGCTCAAAAGCTTTCATTGTACCAGACATTAGGCCCACCTCTTTTGGCTTTGCTTCTGAACCTCTGTTAAGATTCACTTTAGCATTTCATTTGATTGGTTACACATCACGAATTTTTCATCGCAGAGAGACACTTTTTTACTGCAAAATGGAAATAAAGTGTTATGAGAAATGGTTATAGTTATACTGTGAGGCAGTAAGATGGCTGATCAAAATGCTTATGAATTTATTCTCATGTATGAGCTGGAAGAGAAACAAATATGTGTTGTTATCCTAACACAGAGTAATTACTTCTGCAGGCCATTAGCTTTAGCAGCGTCTCATATCCCTCTGGCATGGTGAAATTTGGTTTTGTCTTCTTAATTTCGAGTGACAAATATGGGAAGCTACTTTTTGTAACAATTTCACTCTGACTTGGATGCAAATGAGATATGATACTGAATAATGTTGTTTCTGTATCAAGCTATTCCAGGGCTCAGCAGACCACAGGGCCTGTGTGAACTAGGTGTTACCTTTATGTTATGTATGCCAGCAGGCTTTGTAAACTCGTATGGAATTGGGATAATATGTCATTATGATGCTGTCTCGTATGTAAATGGAAGAGACAATTAATAATAATAATAATAAAATGTTGCTCTGTGCCTTTTTTATTCTAATTTATTGTCATTCATCCAATTAAATTGTTTTTGACAATTCAGAAAGAAAATTAAAATGGATGTCACTGTTTCACCAATACTACATGTGGTTGCAGTTGTTTACTGTGAGCATTTTTAATACACTAATTAGCCAAAATCATTCCTAGCCTTGAAATTTGATAGGAACTTATTCGGACTTAATTTAATATTAGAATGGCCATTTATTGAAGAATAGTAGCAATGTATAATTGTGCTTATCTCTCTCTCTCTCTCTCTATTTTGCTAAAGTCACTTTGTTTGCATATTCATCTATTGGAATTTCTTGTAAGATACAAAACTCAAATTTTTATAATAGGCACAAGCTATGACTTTCCTTCCCAATTAATATCATAGAGTAGGCTTTTGATTTTCTAAAATTTAAAGTTCTTAGCTTTATAAAAAGTATCAAGGTTTTAACTTGATAAATATTAATTACTTTTTAAGTTAGAATATATAGTTATTTTTTATTTAATATAATTTAATTAAGAAGAAAAGAAACAAGAATAATATTTTTTTTGAAGAAAAGTAACTAATTTTTTTTCTTTAAAGCTTGAGTAACAATTAGCTAAATGCAAGAAAAAATAAATTATTAAAGGTACAAATTGTTTTTTTCCTTAAAGCTTTAGTAACAATTAGCTAAATGTTAAAAAAATATTATATAGTAAAGGAAAAAGAAAAATTTTCTGTAAGCAAATGTTTCATGAAAACAATTCTAATTCCTAATGAATTATTCTCTCATGCAAACAAAGAATTTGGAATTCCAAACAAATTCCATATCAATTCTATGCATTTTCCAAACGAAAGAATTGCAATGATTTGGAATTATAATTCATAGAATTCCAATTCTATAGAATTTCAATTCTAATTCAATTCCAATTCTGCAGAACCAAACGCACCCTTAGTTTTTTTTGGCTAGAATACTACAGTGTGATTTGTGCCTTGCATATCTATGTAAGAGAGATGGTGGATGCCTCTTTGTTTCTTCTATTGTATATAAATTCAAAAGAATACATTTCAATTGAATTAGAATTAAATTTTTGTATTATACCAAGAATACAGCAATTTTGAGAGGAGGAATAATCTAGATCATCCATGTTCAACATATAGAACTTACAAGGATAGAGCATTCATCGAAGAGAGTATTCAAATCTTAAGTTGGTCATTGGAGAGAGAGAGAGAGAGAGAATGCTCTCTATAAGCGGTTTTAGGATTTTGGCAGAACGCAGAGCTAAAGGCCTGCTTGTGCAGGTGATTGGGAAGGCACAGAAACTTGGTCTTGAATTCAATTGAATGTTATAATCAATGTCACAACATAATCCAAAATATCATCTTCAGACGTAATTCCAGAATTTTAGGTGGCAGCAGATTACAAAATTGGAAATGTACATGAAAGCAAGATAAGCATATGCCAAAATCAACTTCAGTACAATTTCTATATAGCACAAATTTGGCAATTTCATGGAGCCCAGCTTCCTGATAACATTCAGCAATCCGGTCCAAATTGTCATCCCAGGTGCCTTCCACAGAAAAGCCAAATCCAACAAGAAAGCTACTTCATCCAAAGCAACCTGTAAACAACAGAAGGTGTAAACACACTGAAGCACACGTTGCCAAAAGGTGAAAGAGATATGTGAACTAAAACAACACAATGCAGATAACAAAGCGAATGAAGGGAAGTACAATATATGCAATCTTAAAGGTAATGAATACGACAATAACAATGTAAAGCAACATATTTTCCCCAATTGAGGATGCGTAACATCTTAAGACTTACATTCTTGGCTAGAAGCCATATCCTGTGCTTCTGTACTTGTATCACAGGCATCTCCATCCTGAGGATGCTAGAAATTGAGATCAAACAATCTAAGAAGAACATCTCAACTAAGAAGATTTGAATTAGTTTACCCAGTTGGGGCAGTAGGCCATCGCAGCAAAATAGTTACAGAACCTATACACAACAAGCAATGTGTAAAGATAGAATATTGGTCTCAAATCAATATTATTTTTTTTACTTTTTAACTCAAACACAAGCCTTATTCACACCTGAGGTGTTTTCTGACAGGTACAGCAAGAGGAATCAAACCTCGCTTGGCCCCAAGAGAGATTAATGACTCGCCTGCTACCAGTCAATATGCCAACCTGAAAAGATAAGAACTTTTTACTGAGTAAAAAAGGAAGAATTTTAGGCGCAGTTGTATAATTCAGTAGAAACTGCAAAGCAAGGCTAGCTTGTCAATCACAAATTAATTACTAAAATAGATAAAAACAAAGAAAAAAGAAAATTAACAATTTATCAAGAATTGTAACTGAGCACCACAGGCAACAACATGAAACTCGTCACGCAAGTCTTTACACAAGGGAGTATCATGCAACTAAACAAATAATAGAAACAACATAAGAGGATTCAGGGGAAGAATCGCCAGACGAATCGAAAACAAGGATATTAGAAAAACAATTGACTCACTACAACTTATTAGTCTAATTAAGTGTTGTCTTGAGATCTCAATGTTTGTATGTCTGGAATAAGTAGAAGAATAGAATATCCAAAAATCGCTATTTGACGTGAGAGAAAGAGATCATCATCAAGTATTTCAAAATGATTGCCTGCGGTGTCCAATCTTCATGGGAATTTAAACAGAATAGATTATCTATTTTTTTTGACAAGTATATAAATATAGTCTACCAAACAGTGACAGGGAACACTATAGCCTAATAATATGCTTAGGTTGCAAAACAAGGCGTACTTATAAACTGACAACCTATGTTGCATTTTCTCCACCAAATAACCAGAGAGATATTTAGAGAAAAAACACGCTTGCAAAAGAAAAAATGACAGGGAGAATGAGGGATGACAGGGCATACTATTTCCAATTGGGAGAGAGCTTCTTGCTTTCTTGATGGTAGAGAGGAATCTCATGTGCAAGTTCTGCTAGCCCAAAAAAATCCCTATGTTATTATAAAAGCTTTAACAACAAGAATAGAAATGCAACAATGAAGATGATGTTGATTTTTTCCCTAACAAGTAACAATTTTAAACTATGCCATACCTCGAGTCACACGAAACACCATTCTGAGTGTTGTCGTTCCCCTCTGTGCTAACTTGCAGATGTAATCTTCAACCTATCCAATATACACTTAATTAAAAAAAAAAAAGAAAAGAAAAATAGAACACTATGAAATGCATGCCTGTACATCTAGAAAAGTAGTAAAATAATGAAATTCAACTAACATCTTGGAAGGACATGTGTGGAAATGCTATTATTAGATACTATAATCACCGGAAAAACAAAAAAGAAACCAGTCTCTGCTTCAGAAATGAATTAAAATGAGCATGAATGATAGCAATTATTTGTTAGCCTGTGACTCTGTGAGATATATAGAGACAACAGACCTGCAATTGTGCACCCATAAACCTTGTCAAGTCTTGAACCTAGCCAAGTCAAGTTCTTTAGTAACAAAGTGACTTGGCACCAATTAATTTGACGCCAGCATCAAATGTCTGCAAATTGTGAATGCCAGGTTTCAATCTACCAAAAAGAAGTAAAGGATAATGATTAAAACAAGCATTTCAAAAAGGCTTAAAAAAAACTTGATTAGCTTGATGACCACCCTTGAAAGAAGGCAATAAGCCATGATGAATATTAATAACAGCTTTTCCATAACTTTTTAAGAAGTTTCCAGAAAGAACCTGTAGAAATCAACTGAAGTTTTGAAATACAGCCATTGCAATGTGTAATTGAATAATGCTACTCTGGTATGTCAAAGCACAAGCGCATGACAACCAAAAAAACATTAGAAGCAGCAAATGCGGTGATTCCAATGTTCTACTCTGTTGTATTAACGCAAAAGACATTTGAACTGAAGATCAAAATGGTAGATGACATGAAGAAACAGAAAAATATTCTAGAATTCTAAATGTCAATCAACCAAGTCTTTGAAAGATGCTGGGAAGAAATCTCACTCTATTGACCTTATGATTGTAAACCCAAAATCATTTAGATGAACACCAACAGCAATCATTACGATATCTGCCATTGAAGAATAACCATATCTGCCATTGAAGAATAAATCACAAAAGGGACCATAACTCTTAACATCTGGCCTAAATCTACTTCACAGTACCTCAAACATAAGCCAGATAATCCAGAAAAGAATAAGAAGAAAGGACAAAACCAACTTATTAACTTGCCATAGAAAAATGTACCAAGAAACAAAGTGCAAGGCAGTGCAATAGACCTTCTAGAGTAAAACACATTCTTGTCCTTGGGCACAAAAACATCAGCATTGAGAATGTTTCCACCTATTGAAGCAATACATTCTGATAGCTTTGCAACTATTCCCAACTCATCCTGCAATTTTCACACACCGAAAACAAAATCAAAGAATTAAAAAATCCATCGTTATACCTCATTTGGCCTAATCCAACTAAAAAATGAAAAACCATTTCAATGTCATTAATGATACCGTTACTCACTGGGCAATGGAAGACATGAATACCATGGCTGATGGAGGAAGAGGTAGATTCATCAAGAGACTCTATTTTGAAGGGCCTCTATAGATCATTAAGAATAAATATTTTTTATCAACATTAATGGTTTGGAAATATGCATGAATTTCCATGCAAGATCCTATATAAGTATAGATTACCAAGTTGTAAACTGATATAGATAGGAAAGATAGTCCACAGACAAGAAGAACGATAGTAGATCTAATAGATCAGTCCACATGACACATACCTAGAATAAGTACCAGCTCCTGCCCTGTAGCTCGACAAACATGAATCCCAAGAACGTGTAATCCTAAAGAGTAGAACCCAGTAGCATCTAGTAGATACAAAAGCTGATAAGCAAAAGACAATCCTGCAAAGAAGGAACTCCCAAATGGATTTGGCTGTGAGTTAGGTGGCTGTCTTGGCATCCCAGGCTGTCCAACATTATCGCACATTTCTATAAAATCCCAAGATTAAGAATATGTTAAACAGGGAAGAAGCACTTGAACGATATCAAAGTCATGGAATACCTTTTTGGCTAAAAAAAAAGGAAACTTAAATTGACAAACCAAGAGGGGCAGCCATGTGTAAAATGCATATTTATTGGTACATACTGGTATATAAGAGTTGGAAACTACCTTCCCCCCCCCCCGAAAAAAAAAACAAAAAAAAGGGTAACTTCTATTGTACAAAAGGTAACCTAGTCATTTCACCATTGCGACAAAGATTCTCATTTTGTAATTTTCCTCCTTTTTTCCCCTCAGCACTTGAACTTGACCTTCTCATTCTTTTTCTAGAAATTTTGCCAAACAGAAGCATGTCATGGGGGGAGAGGGTGAAAATTTTCTTCTTTTTTTAGCATCATTAACTACAAAACTACAAGGTGTTCCATTAAACGCTGTCATTCTTCATTTTACAGATCCACTAAATTTAACACCCTTTGAATTCTACTTCACTACATCAGCATCCAAACTTAGCATGATCCCTCTATTAAGCAAATTGTAAACAGCATCAAGTAGGCAAATCAAAAGGCAAAAGCAAACAGTAAAACATTTAGATTCAAATAGAAGTGTGCAGTCAAGAAACCTAATTGTTTAATTGCTCTATCACATAACAGTTATTTTGATGTTACCTAAATTTCCAAATTCTTGTCTGTTTAATCTGAACGTATAGTTGCACCTACATTACTGAGCACTACCAAAAGCAAAGGATATCATTAAAAATGAGGAAAAAAATAAAACTACACTACTTACCTGTAAAGTATTTAAACATTCACCAAGATGAAGAAAGGTTCCCTAACGACTTTTAGAATCTAGATATTCAAATCCTCAACTCTTTCGACAATTTTCACATTTTTTTGAAACATTTTTCATAGTGTGATAAAGATTTCAATCATATATCAGAATAATTGTCACCTTAATTCGCCAGATTCAGGACTGAATCAATCAACAAATAAACTGTCAGGAAATTTTTTCCTTTCTCCAGAAACCGTGTGTAGGACAAAGACAGGGTAACCACTCCCCAGAAGAATTAAGCGTGAATCACAAATTAGAGGAGACCGTTCGGAAACACAATTAAAATCGAAATTCAAAATTCTCCCAAGCAAAAGCAAGCTGCTAATAAACATGATCCAAACTCAAAACCATAACAAGTCTCTAGATGTAAAAACATCGATTAATTAAAAAAAAAAAGATAGCAATATTACCAGTTGGCGTGAGACAGAGAAAAAGGAGCGAGTAGAGTATATAGATCTGCAATCAAAAGTGCTGTAGGAAAATAGCTTGGATTTGGAGTATGGCGGAGGATTCCAAAGAAAAAGAGATCACTATGGAGGACTGGTTTTGCGGCAGGAGGAGCAGTTGCCCTGCTGGTGGTGCTGGGTGGACATGGAGCGAGTTGGCCGAGATTTGAGAGCGATTAATCAGGCAAAAAAGGAATGAAAGGGGGAAAGAAAAATCAAAGAATGAGAAGGAAAGAAAGATAAAAGATGACGGCGATTTGAAAAGGAAGAGGAAGAAGGAATGAGAGGTCAAAAATCTGTTGAAAAGAAGGAGAAGATGAAAAGCGGCGCCTCAAAGCTTGAGCGTGATTTAGGGTTAGAAGAGGCCTAAAAAAAATAGGGCGAATCACATGCTTGTCACATGAGAGACGACGAAAACCATTCCAGGTCATAAGAGGCCTTCGGCTCTTATTCTATATATGTTGAAAATATGATTATGGAGGGAATCAACAAAAGTTACTCTTTAAATGATTATGAATTTTAACTTTTTTTAGTGATTAAGAAATTTATAATTAAAATAATACAAAAGCAATCGATCGAAAATATCACAAAAAACTAATTATGTAAAATAAGAGTTAAAATAAAATTTCAAAATCAGACTTTAAAAATAATTAATGGAGATCAAATTCACAATTATTGAAGTTGAATCAGTTAGCTAAAATAATCAATCAAAAACAAGTTCATCAAATAACACTTTATTTCCATTTTGCAGTAAAAAAGTGT